GAACCCCTCGGTCCCTGGTTGCCCTGTTGGTATTGGACCCACTCCTGTGTCCTCAGCTGCCGTGGGCTGGCCGCCTCTGCTGTTCCTGAAGCCCATGGGTCAGCAGCGGGACCCCCATCATGAACCCCGTCCTCCTCTGCTCTGGCCCGGATCCCAGACAGACCAGCCCTTTTCAACATGTAGGGGAACAGAGGGATGGGGCGCCGCGGGGGGTGGGGGTGGGGGTTAGGAGAGAGTGAGAGTTTACTGGAACTTCTTAAAAAGCCTGTTCATAGCCACGACTGGTCGATGGCCTCCAACAGTCTATCTTAGTTTTTGTCTAGCATTGCTTTGATAAAAGTTAAAAATGTTTTGCACCACTATGGCTTTGCCAGCCTTACAAAACTCTCACCGGCTTCTTTTTTTTTTTTTATGGTGTCTGTGGGGGGACTATCAAGTTCTAGTTCCTTCCATCATGCTCCCTTCTCAGTCCCCACCCCCGAAGCATCTGGGGCAAATGACTGAGGTTGGAGTTCGCAGGTCCCCTTGTCCTGGATAGTGGCTACCTTTGGCTTCGATGTTTACTTGTTTGTCGCTTTCTACTTGGTGACTCATCCTTGTAAGAACCTTTGGACTCCCAGGCTCGCCTGCAGCCGGTTTGTTTGCCGGTTGCTGTTGTCACATGATGGGCACGGGAGCTCTCAGTTCTTGCTCTCCTAACTTCTCCAGGCCAGTTCTCTGCACGCACTGTGAGCTCGGGGTTGTTTGGAAAGTTTTCAAAACTTGGCCCTGTGAGCCTCCTGCCTTTCCTAATAAGCTCTGGGTTAGTCTCTAGTTGCCTGTTTACCCCTGGGGTGTATATGCTTACCTTCTCTCTTTATCAGGCATTTAGGTAGATCCCCGCCTTCCTAAATGAAGTAGAAGAAAGGTCAGGAAGGGAGGAGAATTTAAACTTGTTAAGACATCAAGCCATGTTTCCGTTTGGTTCTGGTGAGGCAGAGGCCAGGAGGCACAATGGGGAGCTTGAAATGTGATTTAGGGGACAGGGGTTCCTTCTTTCCTGCCTTCTGGGACGTCTGGAGGTCCAGTGAAAACATCCCACAGCGGGCATGGCACGAAGACAATTGGCGGATCCTCCTCTACAACTTCCATGGAGTGGGACACGTGGGTGGTGAAGGGGTCCTCGCCGCTGGGCTCCAAGGGGTGGGGACAGAGGAGCCGCCATCTGGCCGCGTGTGCGCGGTGTCCAGTGCACGTGGTGCACGCTGTGCTCTGTGCTCGCCAGCTCGGTGCACCTCGCCCAGTCCCTCGGGCGTCGTCTTCTCCGGGGTTACAAATAACGTTGTTTTGGAAGCTTCCTTCCTTGTTGGCGTTGAAGGTTTACTCAAGGGCAGCACCTAAACCTTTTATTCTGTAGTTCCTGGGGGATTCCCATTGGTTTCCATCTGTTTTCTACCCATGCTGCCCTGGCTGCATTGAAAGGTCACTTCTGCCTTTCCAGTGACAAAATGGAATGCTAAAAGAGAAGATAACATTAACACACACTCACTTAAGTTCCCTGATGAAGATGCAGAAGGAAGTGACTCCTGACCAGTCCAACGCAGAAAACTGATCTAGAACCAGAGCTTGAGTATCAGGGTCAGGCCTCACTGCCATCTTCAAAGACAGGTGCTGTTCGATCATTTCTTGAGGAAGATCAACTTCAAGAATGGACAGGAAATGTGGTTTATTATGTTTATATCTAGGCTGATTTTCCAAATGATTTGTGAAGCTGTTTATAGAAGATGAGAAATTAAGGAGCTCTCTGGCCCAGATTCATAGCTATTTGACTTCAGAAATTATTTTAGCTTTCTTAGCAGTTTCATAGTCATTTCTGAAAACACTTTAACTGCATATTTGGGGATTAAGGGGCAATGTACCATGAATGATCTTATCTTAAGAAATATCCTATATAATAAAAGACTAATATGCAAATAGACCGAATGGAGGAATGATCGGTGGGACGACCAGTCACTATGACATGCACTGACCACCAAGGGGCAGATGCTAAACGCAGGAGCACCGCTCAGCCAGAAGCTGGGCTCACGACTGGCGAGCGCAGCAGTGGTGGCAGGAGCCTCTCCTGCCTCTGCGTCAGCGCTAAGGAGCAGCGAGCAGGCGGGCGGTAAGGAACAAGGGGTCCTGGACTGTGAGAGGGTGCAGGCCGGGCTGAGGGGGACTCCCCGCCCTCCCCCCTCCCCCCCAGTGCATGAATTTTGTGCCCTGGGCCTCTAGTATGGTAATAAATTTGTACTTAATGTTGACTACTGTGATTCCTACATGGAGCAGTTATATGAATAGTTGTAACCAAGAATTAACATTTCAGTCACGCAATAAAGGTTTTATATTCTGCATTTTCTCAAAAAACCAAACAAACAAACAAAAACTATTCCAGAGTGGGAGCAAGAAGTTTTGGAGCCAAAAAGTTTAGGGTTGAAAGGCCAGCCCTGCCACTCACCAGCTATAAGATCTTTGACTAATCATTTCACATCCTCAGTCACGGTGGGCAAACTATTTTTACATGCCTGGTTTTGTACAACTTGTGGGCTAGGAAATGCTTCCACATCTTAAATGGTTGTATTAAAATGGACAGAATAATAGTATTGTGTGGTGCCTCCACTGTGTTTGATTACAGATGCTGCAGGTTTGAGATTTGACGGCAGGGTTGAGTTGGTGGCAGTGACCATCTCCCCGTTGAAGCTGAAAATATTTACTCTCTGGCCCTTTATAGCAAAAATTCTGACTTTCCCCTAAGCCTCACTTTCCTCGTCTCTAAGGAGAGCTAAGCCATGGGGTTGTTGTAAGAATTAAATGAAATAATCTAGGTCAAATGTTTGGCTGTGGTTTAGGAAGAGTGGCTGTTATCAACCACAATAACCTGTGTTTCAGTAGAGCTAAGGTTCTAAAATTCCAGAAGTCTCGAAGTTCCTTGCATGTTGCACTGATTGAGCCTTAACTCCTGTGTGTCCTTCCTGAGCAGACCTTGTCCATGACATTCCCACCCAGGCTGGGCGCTCCCGCGCGCCCGACACGTGTCTCCTCTGTCTTCCAGGAGCTGCACCTGTGTGTGTCCCGCAGGCACTTCGCCCTGGAGCGGGGCTGCCGGCTGCGCGGGCTGTCACCCGGGAATTACAGCGTGAGAGTCCGGGCCACCTCCCTGGCGGGCAATGGTTCCTGGACAGAAGCCACCTATTTCTATGTGACAAACTACTGTGAGTCTGCATGGTGACTTAGACTAGCTGGGGCGGTGCTTGCTGCTGGGAACAGCAGCACATTGCTGGGAATAGTCAGGAGATTCTAGACCGGGCGAGCGGGACCTGGGTGGGCAGGGGTGGGGTGTGGCCCCTGCTTGGCTGGCTGGAATTTCGTGTACCTGGGGTGGTGTGAGTATGGAAAGTGGGGTGATTCTTGCTGGGATGGTTGTGGTCAGGGTCAGGACTAGGATGAGATCTTTGACACCAACTGGGTGTCTTGCACTGTGATTCTGACGCTGCCACTGGAGTTAGCACAGAACCCACAAGGTTAAGAGCACAGTTTTCAACAAGACTGCTCTCACCTAGATGGCAGATTCAAGTTTGGGGATTCTCCAGGCCACCTGCCCTTCTGACCAACTGGCCACAAATTCGGGGTTCCCGAACCTTTCCTATTAGATCCTTTGCTAGAGTGGCTCACAGAACTCAGGAAAGTGCTGTAAGAACAAACACAGTGAAGGATAAGTCAGGAACACCCAAACGAAGGGACAGCCAGGACCAGGGCCGGCAGGGTCCTGGACATAGGGCTGCCGTGTCCTCTTCATTGAGGAGGAACCGTCATGTCACCCTCCCGACATCCACGTATCCATCCTCTGCGCTTTGCTGTCGGAGTTTTCCTTGGGGTTTCGTTATCTAGGTGTGATTGATCGAAGCACCGGGTCTCGAGCCTCCCTCTCCTCTCGAGGTCAGGCGGGTGAAGGTCTCACCCTCCCATCACAGGCTTGCTCCTCTGGTGACCAGCCCCACCCTGAGTCCTCCCACCTCTTAGCATCAGCTCTGGTTGTTCCAAGAGGCTCATCAGTAACCGACACTCTGCTCCTTAGGGTACCAACGATTGGAATCTGCCCCTTCAGAACCAGGGACACCAGTGAATAAAATGCGAAGGGAAATATCTGCGTGGCAGAAATGTCTGTAGCATCACTGACAGAGTTAATGTCCTTAATATGAAATGAATATATGGTTGACTCCATGGGTGTGAACAGCGTGGGTCCACATATATACACATTTTTTAAAATAAATAAGTGTATTATCCTTTATGTTTTTCTTAATGACATTTTCTCTTCTCTAGCTTATTTTATTGTGAGAACACAGTATATAATACCAATAACTTACAAAATATGTGTTACTCATCTGTTTATGTTATCCGTAAGGAGGCTATTAGTATTTGAGTTTTGGGGGAGTCAAAAGATGAATGCAGATTTTCAACTGTGGGAGGGGGTGTCGGCACCCCTCACCCTTGTGTTGTTCAAGGGTGAGGAAAAGATAGATGTCCTAATATAAAAATAAACAAAGAGCATAGATATCCCATTTAAAAATGAATAGAAAACATAAGAAAAAAGTCCATATTCTCTCAAAATCACACTAAAAAAGAAAAATGCAAATTACAACAAGTTGTAATTTTCAAGTTATCGAATTGGCAAAGTTGTTCTTGGTTTCTTTATTTTATAATTACAATAATTGGTGTTGTCCAAGAGCTCAGGCACATGGAATTGTTCTATGGGTGGTGAGCACTAACATGTTTTAATAACGTGCATGAGAAGTCTTAGCAGGGATCTCACTCTCTGAGCCCACAGCTTGAGCCCTAGAAACGTACAGGAAGGAAACAGCTGTCTAAGACAGACACATGTTCACAGAAATTCTGTACCGTGTTGCTTACAATAGCCAAACATCTGGACCGTTAAATGCTACACTTAGATTACAGGTGACCCTTGAATAACACAGAGGTGAGGGGTATGGACCCTCCTGTGCCATTGAAAATCCTTGTATAACCTTCAACTCCCCAAAAACTTCACTACTTATAGATATATATATATAGATATATATAGATATATATAGATATATATATATTTTACATACTGTATTCTTATAATAAAGTGAGCTAGAGAAAAGAAAATGTTAAGAAAATCATAAGGAAGAGAAATACATTTACAATACTATGTGTATTTATTGGAAAAAAAGTATGTATAAGTGCGACCACACAGTTCAAACACATGTTCAAAGGTCGACTATACTTTTTAAAGAAATTCACATCCTATAACGGAGAGAGCAAGGCTCGGGGGATGACCGGCTCTTGCACGACCCAGAGCAAGAGTTCCTTTCAGACTCTCAGATTCTGCTCTGAGACAGGCTGAGTCCTAACCCCTCGTCAGCCTCCAGCTTTCCTGCTCCTTAGGAAAAAGGGAGGGAGGAGGGATATTTAACTGCACAGCAACTGCACAGAGCCAGGCCATTTCTATTTCTCATGTCACATTCAATCCCCGCACATCTGTGGAGACTCTCAGCCTGCCAGAAGCCACCGCACACGGCGCTGAGTTTGCTGTCAGCTGCGGAGGTGCGAGGTGTGGGAGGGGAGATAGCTCAGGACGGAGCCGGCCACCGAAGGCAGGATGGGTCGTTGGTCAGAGCTTACTCCAATGGCCTGGCCAAACGCATGCCGCCCTGTGGGCCAGCACTGGGGCTTGGGCAAGGCCCCTCTCCTCCCTGCGCCTGTTTCCCAGCCTGCTAGCTGGCAGTCCGAGCACCTCCCACCTTGCCGTATGGGACGATTAAATACGGTCACCACACAGAGACTTCAAGCAGTGCCTGTTCAGGGAACTGCTATTACTGAAGGACCCAAATGACCAGATTCTTCTCTGACTTCTCCCCACCCATTTTTTCCTTGTCTTGGAAGAGACTGAATAAATGGGCCTGTTTACAAGTTCTGACAACTTGGCCTTATCTGCAAATTTAAAAAATAAAGGCCACGTAGCATTTCTTCAGCTAATTTAAAAGAGGTTCTTTGGGGAAAATGCACTTGATCCTGCCTGGTGCTCTTCCTGGCAACAAGGTCACCCACCGAGGTCCGTGGGCCAGCCGTCGAGTGAGACGGGGCAGGACCCTCTAGCACACAGGTTCTCCGGTGGATTTTTCATCCGCCAGAGCTGCTGTTTGGAATCAGGACAGGCTGTTTAATTTGCGAGGCTCAGTGCAAAATGAAAATGCAGTACCCTTGTTTAAGAATTAAAACTTTCAAACTGATGACCATGGAATATTCAACCCAGAGCATGGCCCTCCTGAGCGTGGGCCTGGGTGGTGCCTGGGTTGCAGGGTGAGGAAGCTGGCCCTGGGCGGGGAACATAGCAGGCGGCCGGTGTGCTTTCTGATCACGGCCCTCTGAGCCCCCTGCCCAGCCCCGAGGAGCCGAGTGGTGTTTCGGGACTGCTGGGAAACGGGGCCTCGGACACCAGCAGAGAGAGGCTCAGGGACAAAAAAGAGATGGGGGACAAGTGTGTGTGGCCCACGGTTACATTTGTGATTGTGATTTGTGATGTGAACACGTTTTGATACAAAACATGTGTTTTCTTACTCTATTTCAGTAGACGTCCCCTCCAATATTGCAAAAATCATCATCGGCCCCCTCATCTTTGTCTTCCTCTTCAGTGTTGTGATTGGAAGTATTTACCTATTCCTGAGGAAGAGGTTAGTGCAGTGGGGGATGCTGAACAGTCGGCTTTCCAGAAAAATTAAGCTGATATATAGATATACATATAGATATAGATACAGATACAGATACAGATACAGATACAGATATAGATATAGATATAGATACAGCTGTACCTGAGTTTGTTATAAATTTTGCTGATCTCAAGGATGTGTAGCTTGCAATTTACAGATAATAGCCGTAATACAATATACAATGCGGGTTTATCGTAAATTCCCTCACCAAATGTTTTCGTTGATTGTTTTTTCTGAACCTTTGTATCTATAGCCAGCCTATGGTTGCAATTGATAAACAAGTGCTCATGAATGTTGATTGATATTTTGTTTATGTTAAAGAGTAGGATAAAATTGAAATAAGACATAACAGGAGTGACTTTGCAGAATCAGATAATAATTTTTAAATAATATTTTCTCACTATTCTGTGCCATTTACGGCATCATGGCTACAGATGACACATTTAAGTTTAATCTGCATTATTAACATTTTTTTCTGTCACTTTCTCAATTTCAAGCTACAGACATGATGTCACTGAGTGCAGAGTTGGGAACGGATGTGCACAGTATCTCTGCCATACATATAGAATCTATACTAGTAAAAGGGTAACATGCTAATTAGACCAGGTCGACCAGACATCTTTGGTCGTCCAGTCCTCCTTCCAGTTCTCCTTCCGGACAAAGCCATGGTGGCAGGGTTCGAGGCAGAGGCCATTAGGGGCAATCAGGCTGGCAGGGGAGGGCGGTTAGGGGCGATCAGGCAGGCAGGCAGGTGAGCAATTAGGAGCAATTAGGAGCCAGCGGTCCCGGATTGCGAGAGGGATATCCGACTGCCGGTTTAGGCACACAGGGTTCAGGCCTAAACCGGTAGTCGGACATCCCCTGAGGGGTCCTGGATTAGAGAGGGTGCAGGCCGGGATGAGTCCCCCCACCCCCTGCATGAATTTCATGCACCGGGCCTCTAGCAATGTAAATAAATGAGGTGATGTAGATGGCCTTAAGAGCCCTGATCAGCCCTACCAATTTGGCTCAGTGGATAGAGCGTTGGTCTGCGGATTGAAGGGTCCCATGTTCGATTCCAGTCAAGGGTACATGCCCAGTAAGGGGTGTGCAGGAGGTGGCCAGTCAATGATTCTCTCTCATCATTGATGTTTCTATCTCTCTCTTCCTCTCTGAAATCAATAAAAATATGTATTTTTTAAAAAGAGCACTGATCATAGTAAGATGTAGTATGATAATGAGGATGTGGTGAATTTTGAATATTATTACCTTTGCTTTTAATATGATTTATTTAATTATAAGCCTGTTTTGTTTGTTTGTTTAGTTAGTTGGTTAATTAGTTAATCCTCACTCGTGGATATTTTTCCCATTAATTTTTTAGAGCGAGTGCACAGGAGGCAGGGAGAAGGGGAGAGAGAGAAGATATAAGAGACACATGGATGTGAGAGAGACGCATCGATTGGCTGCCTCCTACATGAGCCCCAACTAGGGCTTGGGCATCAAACCTGCAGCCCAGGTACATGCCCTTGATCGGAAATCAAACCCATGACCCTTCGGTGTGCAGGCCAGCACTCTAACCACTGAGCAACCCGCCAGCACTTACTGACAGTTGTTTCTTGTGACCTGGGATGGATGGCTGCAGAGCCGCACTAGTGGGTAGATGCTGCTGATAAAGGTGCTGTTTACACTGGGGCGGCCTGTAGCCTGTAGCCATGAAGTCGCGTGAGAATCTCAAACTGGGATGCCTCCCTTTTTTCTCATCCAGGCAGTCAGACGGGCCGGTGGGACCACTCTATGCTTCTTCAAACCCCGAGTACCTCAGTGCCAGCGATGGTGAGTACCACCCGGCTCCTGTGGGTGGCCAGAGCCTACTGTCCAGTTTCCTTTGCCATCAGTGTCAGGTGACACCCCAAGGGACCAAGACAAGCCCTTGTTCACTGGAGTGAAGACCTGCCCTTGCCGCAGAGACACAGCACTGGGGGCCACCTGGGCCTGTGGGCTGGGCTGGGAGGCGAGAACCTGGTGCCCAGCTGTGGGGGTGGAGCTTGGGACTGTGCCAGAGCTTGCTCAGGGTCAGAACGAGAACGCAGTGTCTGAACCTGGTGCCCTAGCTGGGAGATGGGAATTGGGAGCCAAAATGGGAGATTGTGGATGGCGTGAGGAGGACAAGAAGCAGGGACATGAGGGTGGGTTGGAGGCGGTGTGAGTGCCAGGGACACACCTCCTGTTGGCTGCTGAGACTGGATGTGATGCTGGTGGAGGGAGCATAAGTCTGACACCCATACTTTCCCTGATTGTCCCAAAGGCAGTGAGTGGCCGCTGTAGGCAGGCCTGGCCATTCCTTCCCAGAGGAAGGCACCTGTTGCATGACAAGCTTCTAAACCACTTCATGCAGCAAAAGTAAAAAAGTGACTTTCAAGGCAGGAGCACCATTGCCCAGCGGGACGCGGGCGTGGGAGACGGGCGGTGTTTTAGGTGCCCATCCTTTCCGATGAGATGTAGATGAGACGTACAGACTCGGACTCTCATGAAGGGAGGTGCTCATCCTCTCCCGAGTCTGCTCTCCTCCGTGTGTCGATGGCTGTCTCTCCCTGTGTCCACACCTGGTCTTCCCTGAGTGTCTGCATCCTAAGCTCCTTCTTGTAAGGACACCAGTCATGTTGTGACCTCACGTCACGTTGATTTTCTCTTTAAATACCTTATTTCCAAATATAGGCACATTCTGAGTCCCAGAGTTAGGGGTTCAGCCTATGAGTTTGGGGAGGGACGCAGTTAGCCCGTCACCGTGATGGCACAGGGGAAGGCAGGGACCATTGGGCTTTTCTTACCCGGCCTTCGTGCATTTGTCTGCATTCGTTTGCTGTATAACAAGCCCCCCCCCCCCCCAAACAGTGGCTTACCCCCCCCATTAGTTAGTTCACAGTCTGGTGGGTCTGCTCTCAGGCTGTGCTCGGCTGGCAGTTCTGGTTTCACCCACGTGGCCGCACCTGCCTGTGGACCAGCTGACGCTCGGCGGTCCTGGATGGGCTCACTTCCGTGTCGGGTTTCACAGGCTGGTGGTCCCCAGCCCCTTGGCACTTTGCAGAAACAGCAGCCTTAGATGGGAAGTGGCATCCATGGTCAGTGGGTCTCTGAATCAGACAGATGGGGTGGGATGCAGGCTCAGCCCGGCACTTACCAGGAAAGACCCTGGGCTGGGGTGGCTTCTCTCTGTCTCGGCCAGGCCCTCCAGGAGGGCAGGGACCCACACTTGGCTGTGTCCTATTCTTGGCTGTGTGCCTGGAAGAGGTCCTGGATCACAGAAGTCACTTAATGGACACTTGTGGGGTCGAGGGTGGGAGGTGGCGGGGTCCCCCGAAGACACGGTGTAGATAAGTGAGGAGCAGTGTTCCCATGTTCTGTGTATGTGCCGGACGAGTGGGAGGTGCCACGGGAGAAGATCACCCTCCTGCGAGAGCTGGGGCAGGGCTCCTTCGGCATGGTGTACGAGGGCAACGCCAAGGACATCATCAAGGGCGAGGCGGAGACTCGAGTGGCGGTGAAGACGGTCAACGAGTCGGCCAGCATGCGGGAGCGGATCGAGTTTCTCAACGAGGCCTCCGTCATGAAAGGCTTCGCCTGCCATCACGTGGTAAGTCCCGAAGTGCCCTGGGGACAGACAAAGGCACCTCTGTTCCTTCGAGAAGAGGTCCTGGCAGTAATGGAGAACAGAAGGCATGGATTTGAGCAAAGAGTTGTAACCCAAGAGGCCCAAACTCAGGTGACAGCTACACTGCGCTCCAGAGAGAAGGAAGAAGGGCAGCATTTATAAAGGCAGAAACTGCTGGTGTGATTCTCCCCGCAAGGGCAGGGGGGAGGTCACCAGGCTGGGTAGGTGCAGATGCCATGGGGGGTGGAAACTGGCCCGTGTTATTCCAGGATGTTTGTGACTTGGCCTGGCGCGGAGTTTAGCAGCGGGTTAGCAAGTGAGGAGCAGCTCCAAGAACGGAGGCCTGAGACATGCGGAAGCACCACTTCCCTCAGGGCCTCGCAGCCCTCTCAAGCGACCCTTCCAGTGACGTGCCTTCCTTTTACTTCTGTCCATCATCACTTGCCTGTGGGCTCCCTCTCCCACTCCGCTCTGCTGCTCTCTCCCCTGTGCACAGAGCATGAGGACAGGGGGTGTGGACCCTGTCCCGCCCCAGCCCTTCTCCAGTCCCACCTCCCCTGGAACCAAACTCTTTGCCCGAGTGCTTTCTGGAATCTTCCATCTCATCATCCTCTCAGCACCTCTTTAACCCTTAAACACAAAGTGGTGCGCCTTCCCGCTGCCCCGCCCCCACAGGTTGGCACACACTCTCCTTCCTCTGCTTGCACGTTGCCTCGTTTCTCCGGGAACCTCGTGTCCCTTCGTCTCTGCCCCACGCGCCCTCGCAGAGCTCCCGCTCTGTGCCAAGCCCCGTTCCCATGTCTGTGATGGGTCAGCTTCTGCCCTGGCGGTGCTTCCAGCCCAGCGGTGCGGGCGCTCCAACCCCACTGGGTCCCTTGTTAGGAGGCACCGCTGTGGCACAAAGGAGAGCAGGGCAGGGGCGGGGTTGGGAATTCGGGAGTGGGGAAGGTGTATTTGAGCGAAGACATAAAAGATATAGGGACAGCCATGTGGACATGTGAGGGCACAGAGCCTGAGGCAGAGGGAATGGCTGTGCAGAGGTCTGACGGTGGGAATGCGCCACCCACCAGACTGGGAGTTCTGAATTCCCCTCCTTGTTCTCCCTCCCCAGGTGTTGACCCTGGCATTTGATCGGACAGGCTAGGGTTTACCCGGGAGCAGGATGCTGTGTGTGACCAGACAGAGAGGCCTCCGCGAGTTGAGATCTTCCTGTAGGCCCTCACCCGAGACCTCCCTGACCCCCCACATGCTTGCCCTGCAGGTCCGCCTCCTCGGAGTGGTGTCCAAAGGCCAGCCCACGCTGGTGGTGATGGAGCTCATGACGCACGGAGACCTGAAGAGCCACCTGCGCTCCCTGCGGCCTGACGCTGAGGTGAGCTGCCCGGGCTCCACAGGGTGCCCCCTCCCGGCCCTGACCCCGTGTTGCTGAGCACAGCCTCCTGTTTTGACTTTAGAATAACCCCGGCCGGCCTCCCCCGACCCTGCAAGAGATGTTTCAGATGGCAGCGGAGATTGCTGACGGGATGGCATACCTGAACGCCAAGAAGTTTGTGCACCGGGACCTCGCAGCTCGAAACTGCATGGTCGCCCACGATTTTACCGTCAAAATTGGAGGTTTGTCTGCCTTTCTGCTTGGGAATGTATGGCCCAGGTCACATTCCGTTTGAGAAGTAATTGTCTGTCATGGGTTGTTACAGCTTTTCCATTGCAAAGGGGCAAGGCTTGGGATGGGCCCCTGATCCCCACACTGTAATTTTTTTTCCCAAAAGTTCTTTTTCTTTACTTTAAATTTTAAATTTTTTAAATTTTTTTTTTATATATATTTTATTGATTCTTTACAGAGAGCCTTGACCGGAATCGAACCCGGGACCCTTCAGTCCGCAGGCCGACGCTCTATCCACTGAGCCAAACCGGTCTCGGCAAATTTTTTAATTTTTCAATTGCATTTTACATTCATATTAGTTTTGACAATCGTATACTTTACGAAGTTGCACCCTGTGATTTAATTGCGTTTGTTTACTAGCTCACGCACTCACTTCTTTAAATAACATTAGCGTGCCCTGTGTGTGCAAGCCACTGCGCAGGTCCCCGGCTTTTCTGCCCTCGTGAGCTTGCAGTCCTCATCCACACCGTCTAGCACAGTAGCCACTGGCCGCATGCGCCCACCTGCGTGTACGTTAACTTACATTAAGTAAAGTTAAAAATTCAGCTTGCTGGTGCCTGGGCCACACTTCAGGTATCCAGTAGCCACCTTGAGCCCAGTGGTTGCCATATTGGACGGTGTGGGTATAGACCGTGTTCATCACCACAGGCAGTCTGGACAGAGCTGTTCTAGGTGAACAGTACAATAGTTCACACTCAGACAAGCTAAAGTCGGTGGGGGAAGGAAATGGACTTCCTCTCTGAAAAGAGGCACCATTTCAAGACTGGGAGGATTAGAAGTTGACCTGAGTGACAGCATCCCAGGGGTCGTTACAGCACATGCAAAGGCCACAAGGCCCGGCGATGGCTGAATGTGGAGGATACAGAGCAGCAGGAGCTATGTGGTTAGGGAGAGAGGCAGGAGCCAGACCTAGAAGGGTCTTGCAAGTCACGGCAAGTCATCTAGACATTATGCTAGGCCGTCCGAGCACAGCGGGAAGTGATGTGCTTCTCTTTATGAACCAAAAAAACTCATTCCCCTACGTTAGCAGTCAGTGGGAAGCAAGGAATGATGTTATCCTCTTTATAATCCCCAAAGATCTTCTCCTGTATCAGCAAGGGAAGCAGGAAATGGCGAAGTGATTCATTCTATGTATGTAGCTTCTCTTGGTCAGTGGCTGTCAGAGTCAGGATGGAGGGAGGGTCCTGTAGGTGAGAGAGGGTGTCAGGCCTGGTCGGTTCTGGGACAATGGAGAGAAATAGATAGTTAGAGAGGGGTGTGGAATGAGAGTGGGTAGGACTCCCCACTGTTTCTCATTGTGAGGAAAGGGGTGGCCGAAAGAGGACCCAACTCTGGGTTTCTGGCCGGGCAATGGGCTGTTAGGTGGAGCCATATCCAATGGGGGGAAGTAGCTTGGCTGCAGAGAGTTAATAGTTCGACTTGGGTTACATGTGAGTCCTGGGTGAGAAGGAAGTGTTTCTGAGAACGGGATTCCCAAGCTCTGGCCAGAACATCGCTTTTTTGCTACTTTAAATGGTGGCCCTCCACTTCCTCCACATCCCATGAGCACACTCAGAATCCATTCTCCTGGGATTTGGTGGCCTCAGGTGAGCCTCTCTGAGGGCTCGGCCAGGGGTGGGGCTGTGAAGATGGTGGACACTTTGAGCCACAGGCTGAAGGTAAGAGTTTGTGAACTGTTTGTTGTCAGACTTTGGAATGACCAGAGACATCTACGAAACGGATTATTACCGGAAAGGTGGCAAAGGTCTGCTTCCTGTGAGGTGGATGGCACCTGAATCTTTGAAGGACGGGGTCTTTACCGCTTCTTCCGACATGTGGTGAGTTGTGCGTGAGCCGGCTGATAGAGCGCTGGGCTTGAATTCCAGGATGCTCCTCTAGTCTGACTAAAAGGGGCAGTTAACACCTGCCTTCCTCCTGGCCATCAACAAAATGAAGGGAAGGTCATGTCTGAGGACCCTTGCACAGCTACTGCTACATTCCAGTGGAGACTAATTTTATAGGCATTTCTAAAGGCAGCATAAATCTTTTTTTCATTTTTATTTACTTATGTGTTTGTTTTTCGATTACAGTTCACATTCAATATTATGTTAGTTTCAGGAGTACAGCATAGTGGTTAGACATCTGTAATATTTACAAAGCAATCCCCCCATAAGTCTAGTGCATCATACATACTTATTACAGTATTATGAACTATATTCCCTATGCTGTACTGTGACTGTTTTGTAACTATCAATTTGTACCTCTGAATTCCTTTACCTTTCCATCCAAAACCCCCAACTTCCCCTCCCATGTTAACTCTCAGTTTGTTCTCTGTATCTAGAGTTTGTTTTTGTTTTGATAGTTACCTTATTTTGTTTTTTAGATTTCACATGTAAGTAAATCACAATGTATTTGTCTTTCTCTGTCTGCCTTATTTCACTTGGCATAATACCCACTAAGGCCATCCATGTTGTTGCAAAGGGTAAGATTTTGTTCTTTTTAATGGCTGAGTAATATCCCATTGCATGTATGTACCTCGTCGTCTTTATCCAATTGTCTATTAATGGGCACTTTGTATCTTCCTCACTTTCTTTTTTTCAATATGCTATAGTTTTTTATAGTTCAATATGCTATAGTTTCAATATGCTATTGGTCTTTTATCTCCTTGGTTAAGTGTATTTCTAGGTACCTTTTTTGTTGCAATGGTAAATTGGATTTTTTTCTCTTTCTGAGAGTTCATTTTTCATGTATAAAAATGCCATCAATTTCTGGATGTTAATTTTGTGTCCCGATACTTTGCTGAATTAATTTATTAAATTTAGTAGTTCTTTTGGTGGAGCTTTAGGGTTTTCTGTATACAATATTATGTCACATGCAAATAATGACAGTTTAATTTTCTTCTTTCCAATTCAATATCTTTTATTTTTTCTTTTCTGATTGCTGTGGCTAGGACTTCCAGTACCATGATGAATAAAAGTGATGAAGGGGCATTGCTGTCTTATTCCTTATCTTAAAGAAAACTCTGAGTTTTTGCCCATTATGATGTTGGCTGTAGGCGTTTCATATATGGCCTTTATTATGTTGATATATGATTCCTCTATTTCCACTTTGCTGAGAGGTTCATGAGAGATTGATTATAAACGGGTATTGGATTTTGTCAAATTCTTTACTGTGTCTATTGATACGATGTAATTTTTATCCTTGATTTTGTTTATGTGATGTATCACATTTATTGATTTGCAAATATTGCAACAACCTTGCATCCCTGGAATAAATCCCACTTGGTGTATGATCTTTTTAATGTCTTGCTGGATTCTATTTGCTAATATTTCATTGAGGATTTCAGAATCTATGTTCATCTTTGTTTTTATATTATTTATTTCTGCTCTGATCTTTATTATTTTTTCTTCCTACGTACTCTGGAGTTTTCTTGTTGTTCTTTTTCTAGTTCTTTAAGCTGTACAGTTAGATTGTTTATTTGAGCTTTTTCTTGTTTCTTGAGGTTGGCCTGTAATGCTATGAACTTCCCTCTCAGGATTGCTTTCTCTGTGTACCATAGATTCAAGATTGTTGTGTGTTCATTTTTATTTGTTTCCAGGAAATTTTTTTACTTTTTCCTTGATCTCGTATTCATTGTTTAATAACATGCTGTTTGGCCTCCACATGTTTAAATGTTTTTAAGGTTTTTTATTGTAGTTGATTTCTAGTTTCATGCCATTGTGACTTGAGAAGATGCTTGATATGATTTTAATCTTCTTGAATTTGTTAAGACTCATTTTGTTCCTTAACATTTCATCTGTCTTTGAGAATGTCCCATAGGCATTTGAGAAGAATGTATATTCTGCGGCTTTGGTTTGAAATGTTCTGTAAATATCAATTAAATCCATCTGATTCAGTATTGTTTAAGGTCACTGTTTTCTTGTTGCTCTTTTCTCTGAAAGATCTATCCAGTGATGTCATTGGGTGTTAACATTGTGTACTGTGATTGTATGGCTGTTGATCTCTCCCTTATAGTCCTTCAAGAGGTTTGTTGTCATTTTATTTAAAATGACAGCCATGTTGGGTAGAGTAGTCTTGGTTTCAGATCTTTGCGTTTCATAAGTTTGAATGCCTACGCAGTTCCCATCTGCTTGTAGTGTTTGTTTTGAGAAATCAGCTGACAACCTTATTGGAACTCTCTTATAGGTAACCTGTCTCTCTCTTGTTGCCCGTGAGATTCTCTCTTTGTCTTTAATGTTTGCCATTTTAATTATGATGTGCCTTGGTGTGGTTCTTTTTGAGTTCATCTTGATTGTGACTCTCTGTGTGCCCTGAACTTGTATGACTTTTTCCTTTACCAGTTTAGGGAAGTTTTCTGTCATTATTACTTCAAACAGGTTCTCTATCACTTGGTCACTTTCTTCTCCCTATGGTACCCCTATGATGCTGATATTGTTATGTTTCATGTTGTCCCAAAGTTCCCTTAAACTATCTTCATGCTTTTTAATTATTATTTTTATTATTTTTGTTGCTCTGATTGAGTGATTTTTTTCCTACTTTGTCTTCTAATTTGGTGATTTGGTTCTCTGCTTCTTTTAACCTACTGTTTATTCCTCTATTTAAGATATGTTTTTCAGTTGGTTGTTTTTCATGGTTTCTGTGAGCATTCTTAAAACCATTAGTTTGTACTCTGTTTTCTGATAATTTGCTTGCCTCCATTTCATTTAGCTCTTTTTCTGGAGATTCCTCCTGTTCTTTCGTTTGGAACCTGTTTCTTTGTTTTCCCATGTTTGCTGTTTCTTTGTATTTATTTTGATGTAATGCATAGAACTGCTATTTCTATCTGTCTTGGTGGGGTGGCCTTCTGTAGTGGTTTTCTTGTGGGATCCAGTGGTGTAGTCTCCTTGATCTTTTGAACTGGGTGCTCTATGTCCCTTGTGGTTATGTTGGCCCTCCTATTGTATTTGGGTCTTGATTGCTATTTTCTCACTCATGGGAAGGCTCAACCCTCTGGCTGTCCTGTGGGGCTCAATCTCAACCATATCCTGCCAACCGTTATACAAGTGCTTACAGAACAAAACAAGACAAAATAAGCCCAAACTGAAACCAACATGAAGAAAAAACAAAACAACAATCAGAACAGAAACAACAACAATAAAATAATAGAATAAGAAAAGGAAAAAAAAGATACTAAAAGACCTGAGACCAAAAAATTAGGGAAGAAAATAGAAACCAAAAAAGAGAATCTGAAGGAAAAGAAAGACAAAAGATGAAAATAAGAAAATAAATGAAGTATTAATAATAATAATGAAAAATAATAAATAATAATGTAAAATGAAAAATAGAAGAGGAAAAGAAAAACAGGAAAAAAAGAAGAAAGCAAAGAGAATGAAAAAAATAGAATGGATCTGCTCTTTGTGGAGCTTGCTGGATTTTGTTCTGATGTTGTTGGAATTGGCCACTTGGTGTGCTGATTCTAGGTCTTCTGGAGGTTCTCTGGTGCAGGCCAGTGTCACCCTGCCTGGCACTCAGCAACCTGTCTGAAGCTTGTCAGGGTGGAGCCCCTAGTAGTTCGGTGGCAGTGCCTCCAGAGCCCAGGGCTGGGTCTGTCTCCAGTTGTGCCTTGAATGTCCCTGCTCTGAGATGCTCTCCCTTACCCCATGAAACTGTGTTCCGTGGAGGAATCCAGGATCTGGCCAGGGTGGTTTAAACAGACAATGTTGGGAGTGTTGTCTGTAACCTGTAGGAGAGGTGGCGGGTACTTCCTCTCCTTTCCAGGGCGGTGCTGGCTGAACTTACTAGGGACCTCTGTCTACTTCCCATAATGCATCTGAAAAGCCCAGCCCGTGCTTGTCTGTCTCCTGGACAGAAGCCCACCCAGGAGACACAGTTGCGGTACTTCAGCTTTGCCTGGCTTTCTGGCACCCCCTCACCACCACAGCAAGTAGGAGGGGATTAAAACAATTCATCCTCACTTGGCACGTTAATCTTTTCACATGGCTAGCCCCTGCTAAGTGGGGCCTCAGCCCAGCCTCCCCTCTGGGCCAAATGTCCAAGTCCGTGGCACCAGCAAACCGAGCAGCATTTCCAGCCCAACGCCATTCCCCTTTGCCTTGGATCATAGCAGCATGGGTCAGACCTAGTAGTTTTGCAGGTGAGGGGACAGGGCGCCACTGGTGTGCTTGAGGTCAGCAAGACGGGTCCTCTTTCCCAATTCACACAGACCAGACCCTGTCTGGCTCTCTGCTCAAAGGTCTTCCCGAGAAAAGAGGGTCCCTCAGAATCACTGCTGGGCATACTAATCAGACCCCTCCAGTTGCCCCCCAGCTCTGCTTCATGGCCCCTCCAGCATGCACAGATTGAAGTTCACTTCCCAGGCTGGTGTTGAAACAAAGAAGTTGCTCTTTGCCTAGGATGGGTGTGGTCTGTCTCTCCCAGGTGGACAAAATCCCCACTGATCCCCACTACCTGATACTGTGTGGGCTCCGCTTCTCTTCTCTGTTGTTCTGGATTGAGGATCCCTGTGTCCGTCTGAGACCACACTTCCAGAGGGTGGGGGCTTTGCTGCCATATCCTCCAGCTTTCTAGCTGTGCAACTGCGCAAGTTGGCTCACCCTCTCTGCATCTTCTCTTGTCTTTCCCCACATTCCCTGTTTTCAGTATTTCAGATCAGCTACACCTCAGCTGGTTTCTCAAGCTGCTTGCTCTGCAGTTTGGCCGCAAGTCCTGTCTAGTGTTGGGAGCAAGCGGATGGAATTTCCAGCTACTCTGCAGTTGTCTTGGAATCCTATAGTAATGATGTTTAAAAATATTTTTCTTCTTAATGAAGTCTCTTCAGCCTTTCTTGTTGTACTGTTATGGTGGCAATGAACTCCTTTAACTTTTTTCTTGTCTGGGAAGCTCTTTACCTCTCCTTTAATTTTTAAATGATAGCCTTACTGAGTAAAGTTGTCTTGGTTGTAGTTCCTTACTTTTTATCTCTTTGAATATATTGTGCCAATCCTTCCTGGCCTGTGAAGTTTCTGTTGAGAAATCAGCTGACAGTATTAGGATTGCTTCTAGGTAAGTAACTGCTTTTTCTTTTCTGCTTTTAAGCTTTTCTTTTGTCACTAACCTTTGCCATTTTAATTATGATGTGGTTTGGTGTGGGCCTCTTTGGGTTTATCTTTGGGACTCTCTGCGCTTCCTCAACTTCAGTGGCTATTTTCTTTGCCAGATTAGGGAAGTTTTCCATTTCTTCAAATAGGTTCTCAATTCCTTGGTCTTTCTCTTCTCCTGGTCTCCCTGTGGTGTGAATGTTGTTAGGCTTGATATTGCCCCAGAGGTCCCTTAAACTGTCCTCATTCTTAATAATTTGTTTGTTGTTTTTTTTCCTGTTTTGATTGGGTGTTCTCTACTGTCTTGTCTTTCAAATTACTGAATTGATCCTGAGCTTCATCTAATTTGCTGTGATTCCATCTAGTGTATTCTTCATTCCAGTGTATTCTTTATTTCTGACTGGTTCTGGGTTTCCATGTCCTTTTTTATGCTTACTATCTGTTGTAGTTTTCACTGAGTTTATCTATTCTTCCCCCAAGTTCCTTGTACATCCTTATAACCAGTGTTTTAAACTCTGTATCTGGTAGATTGTTTGCCTCCATTTTGTTTAGTTCTTTTTCTAGAGTTTTTTCATGTTCTTTCACTTGGGACATGTTTCTTTGTGTCCCCATTTTGGCTGCATTTCTGTGTTTGCTTTTAGGTATGAGGTAGATCTGCTACATCTCCTAGTCTTGGAAGGGTGGCCTTATGTGGTAGGTCACCTGTGGCACCCAGTGGTGCATTCTCTCTGATTACCTAAGCTGAGTGCTCCAGGAGTGCCCACCTGTGATCATTGAGTCTTGATTGCTGTTGTCATGTCAGTGGGTGGGATTGACCCTCAGGCTGACTGGTTATGAGGATTGGCCACAACCACAGCGAATGAGCTTCTGTGTGGGTGCTGACCTCATAGATTGGGAATTGCCTAAGTGGACTCTGATGCAAGCCACTTGTTTAGCTTATCTGGTGGGGTGCTGTGGTCTGAAGCCGGCCATTGGGTATGTTGTTTTGGGGGTCTGTTTAGAGGGACTCGGTTGCAGGTCTATGTTAGCCACTGCCTGCGACTGGCATGGGGTTACCTGGTAAGAACTACAAAGTGTTCTGTGGTTGGTAGCTTCCTGTTCTGGGTCTAGAGGTGCAGGGGATGGGCCATGCTGTGAACCGAGGCCTCCTGCCATCAGTTCCGAACTTTGGGCTGCTCAGCGAAAGGCACAGGGTATCCTAAGGCCTATAGCTGCCTACCAGCTGCCCATGTGGCTCAGCTGCTGCAGGATTCTCAGCGGGTAGGTGAGTCGGGTGAGGCCAAATCGCAGGGAGTTGTCAGGCTCTGGCAAGTGAAGTTCATCAAAGTCATGCAGTTTAAGATTTGGCCGAGGAAGAGGGCTCAACTCAGGGACAATGGCGGCTATCCCTCCCCACCCTTGCCCTGAGGCCACACAACTTGCTTCTCCCTGTATGTCTCTGTTGCCCACCCCCACACACAACTCCCCAGGTGCTGTCTGTGCATGGGCCCTTTAAGAGAATGCCTGGGTTTTCCAGCAGCCTTTCATCTCACCTAGATGGATGGATTCCTTACTGATTTTCACAGCCGGATGTTTTGTGGGCTCTTCTTCCCAGCATTGATGCTCTGGGCTTGGGAGTCTAGTGTAGGCCTAGGACTCCTGGCTTCTCGGGGAGACCTCTGTAGCTGAGATATCCCTCTGATTCTCAACCACCACACAGGGGTGTGGGATCAGCCTGTTCCCTATCTCTGCCCCGCCTTCCAGTCGCAACATGGCTTCTTCTTTATATCCTTAGTTATAATCCTGTTCAGTTAGTCTACAGATGGGTCTCCGGGTTGATTGTTCTACAGTTTAGTTGTAATATTCATATGGTCATGGGAGAAACGAGCAGAGTTTACCTACTCCTCCATCTTGATAGGAAGTGAATCTGAATTATTTAATTAACTGGCCAGCCAGTTTCTAGTAAACCAAGACAATTATGTGTGTGTGTTTTAATGGCTTCTTGTTACTCCTCTCAACTATCGTTGGCAGGTCCTTCGGTGTGGTCCTTTGGGAAATCACCAGCTTGGCAGAACAGCCTTACCAAGGCCTCTCTAATGAGCAGGTGTTGAAATTCGTTATGGATGGAGGGTATCTGGATATCCCCGACAATTGTCCAGAGAGACTGTAAGTATAGAAAGGGGTGTTCATTTAAAAGGCATTGCATTTTGCACACATGTTTGTTTTGCATATCATGTCTACATAAATGTTTGTGTTTGTGTATCATATTCTACATGCATTCTTGTGTTTGTATATCATGTCTGCCTGTGTGCTTGTGTTTGCATATCACATATACATGTGTGCTTCTCTTTACATATTATGTCTAATGTGTGCATGTGTTTGCATATCATGTCTACATGTGTGCTTGTTTTTGCATCTTATGTCTGCATGTGTGCTTGTTTTTGCATCTTATGTCTACATGTGTGCTTGTGTTTGCACATCGTATGTTTACGTGGATGAGTGCTGGTGTTTGTAATTGTATGTATACATCCATGCTTGTGTTTGCACCTATATGTACATGCATGTTGGTATTTGCATATTGTGTGTTCACGTGCATACTTATGATTCTATATCATATGTCTACATGTATGCTTGTGAAGGAGAGTTGTGCGTGAGCTGCATATTTTATCTTTGTATGACTCTTGTGTTTGCATATCATATCTTTGGAAGGGAACTGGGGAGCTGGGATGGGAGGCTTACGTTTAACTCTCTGTTCTTTATACACTTAAAGTTCTGTCATGAATGTAACACGATGTTATATTCAACTATATCTCAATAATACTGAAAAAAAATGTCAGTAAGCATAAACATTAAAAAATATTTTGTTTTAAATATTTGTTATGGGACCAAATGGACAACACATACCATTAAACACTTGCAAAATTATTCAGTCCCACTAATAGTTCAATGAGTATAAAATAAAATAAATACTCTCTTCCTTAATTAGCAAATAAAGGAAGGAAGGAATGGAGAGAGGGAGGGAGAGGAAGGAAAGCAGGGTAAGTCTTAACACTCAGTATTAGCAATGGCATGGCTAGATAACCATTCTTATTGCCCCATTATAAGAGCTACTTGGAGCAATTTAAAGTCTCAAAAAATTGAAATGATCTAAAAATTGATCAACAAAATGAAAATTTCCAAGTAAATTGTACATTAATATAATGTTATAGCAGTTGAAATTTCAAATGATGCTTATAAAATGTGTTAAAGCCAGGCTGGAATGGCTCAGTGGTTGCCGGTCAATCTGAGCCAGGAGGTCATGGTTTGATTACCAATCAGGGCACATGCCCAAGTTGCCGGCTCTATCCCCAGTGGGGGGCATGCAGGAGGTAGCTGATCAATGATTCTCTCTCATCATTGATGTTTCTATCTCTCTCTCCCTTTCTCTCTGAAATCAATAAAGATATATTTTTTTTAAAATGTTTTATAACTCAGTGGATAAACCTATTAATACATTAAGTGAAAAAAGCGTGTGTGTATTATATTTCCAAATATGTCCAGGTAGAAAAGACAAGAGCTTATATCTGAAGGAGAGTTGTGTGTGAGTTGCATTTCCCCTATATTTTGGGGTGTTTTTTAACTTTATAGAATGAGCATTTATTACATATAAAATCTGTTATCATTGTTTCTTAAGAAAAAAATTTGACCTGAAAATTTATGGGCAGAGGCCATTTCTTTGCTTCATCCCAATAGAATAAGACATCAACTTAAAAATCTAGTTTGAAGAGACCTTGTATGGAAAAAAGTATGATGCAGAGTCATTCAGAGCCTCTGAGCAAAGTGTTTTGAAACTTTGCCTCATGAAGATCCTTTGCTAGTCAGTTAGCAGCCAGCTGTGGTTCCAGGACCAGGGAGATTCAGGAGGCCCGAGGGCTGGAGTCTGCAGACTTTTTGTAAAAGGCCATTTCTAAGTATCTTTTCTTTGTGGTCCATGCTTTTCTCAGTTGTAGCTCCTCAACGCTGCAACTGTAGCTGGAAGGCAGCCATAGTATGTGGTTGTGTGCCAATGAAAGTTTATATACAAAAACACTCAGGGAGCCAGGTTTGATTCAGGGGTTAAAGTTTGGCAACCTTGCCCTAGAAGAAGTGGGGAAAGGAAGAGGTGAAATGGAAATCCTAAGCCCTCAGCCCTGTCCTGTTTGCTGTTGGCTGGGTAGAGTTGTGATGCTTTCTGGCCATCCTCGAAAGAGTGACAGCTGGGCCTGCAGGACGGCCCTCTGGCTGCAGTCCACAGAGCTACAGCTGCCAGGTGTGAGGATACATCAAATGATCAAACGAGGAAACTGTGGTCTTCAACATGTGGCAACATCAGGAGAGGCCCTTCTTTTAAAAATATATATATTTTTACTGATTTCAGAGAGATAGGGAGGAGAGAGAAACAGGAACATCAGTGATGAGAGAGAATCATTGATCAGCTGCCTCCTGCATGCCCCTCCCTCCCCCACCCCCTCACCCCCCACTGGGGATCAAGCCAACACCCAGGCATGTGCCCTGACTGGGAATCAAACCTTGACCTCCTGGTTCATAGGTTGAGGCTCAACCACTGAGCCTTGCCGGCCGTGCTGGAGAGGCCCTTCTTGAAATGGTTCTGGAATAGGGCAGCCTCTTCGGCCCTCTTTTTAAAACCCCCTTTCAGCACCAATGGACTTGCTCTCTTCCGCTTGATGATTACCTGCACATGTAGCCACTGCCTGAAATGACAGGTCATCTGTGGTGTGAGCCACTGGGGGTGGCGGGACTGCTTGGCTGGCCTCCGGGACTCACCCCCAGCACCTCTCTCTGTCCCACAGCAGTGAGTTAATGAGCATGTGCTGGCACTTCAACCCCAAGATGAGGCCGACCTTCCTGGAGGTGGTTGACCTGCTTAAGGACAACCTGCACCCCAGCTTTCCGGAAGTTTCCTTCTTCTACAGCGAGGAGAACAAGGCACCTGAGAACGATGAGTTGGAGATGGAGTTTGAGGACATGGAGAGTGTACCCCTGGATCGGTCCTCACACTGTCAGAGGGAGGAGGATGGGGGCTGTTCGCTGGCCCTAAAGCGGAATTACGAGGATCACATGTCCTACAGCCACATGAATGGGGGCAAGAAAAACGGACGCGTCCTGACTCTGCCACGGTCCAGTCCTTCCTAACGGCACCTGTTTGGGGGAGGGAATCCCAGCTTCTCTCTCCTCTGGTTTGACGGTCTCCAGAAACTCAGGATTTTCCCACAACTCTGCCAGTGTCCAGTGGAGCTAAGAGATCATTACTCTCCATTTCTGTTTATGGTACAACGTAAAACACATGTTTGATTGCCAATCTGACTAGTGATCAGAGAATGCAACCGTGAGCACAGAGAGAAGGGGTCCTTTCCAGCAACTGCGGGCGCAAGCCAGGGTGTGACTTCTTTTTCTAGTCATTGACAGAAAGCACCTGTTTTTACCAAGGCTTCTTCTTTTCTTTTCTTTTTTATTTTCATTTTATTTTATTTTTGCGGACAGGGGCTGGTGTAACTTGTTTGTGGAACAAAAGTTTGAAAGAAAGAAAAAAACCATACAAACCCTGTTCTGGTAGAATTCAAAGCTTTATGAAGTGGATTTTAGGAAGGTTTTTCTCATCCAGGCTGAACATTTTTTTTTTCCTTCACAAAAGTAGTTTCTCAAATTGACCAATAGCTGCTGCTTTTGTACTTTTGATAAGATTCTGCAGTCCCAGGTGTGTGCATGTGTATTCAGAGTAGACACAGCTGGTGTGTGTGTGTGTGCCCGTGCGTGCAAAGCACTCATGCTGAGATGAAGTTTGGGGATTGGCTCATGAAGGTTCCACTTTTCCGTGTGTGAGCATCCTGGCTCCCCTCCGTCTCCGTCCTCACTGGGAGGCTGTGCCCGGCAGGTTCTCTGTGCCCTAGTCTAGCCTTAGGAGTCCTCTCTCCCTTAGCTTTGGTGAAAATGTTTCTGTAGGAGCAGAGGAGTGGTTTGGAGTGATAATGGGTCTTTTCAAGACCAAACAAAGCCAGGACATAACAAAGAAAAGGAAAAGGAAAAAAAACTCCCGAGATGACAAAGAGTTTTGAGAATATATTTATAACATATTTAATTTTTTAACCATCTCCAGTCAGCCTCATAAGTTATTGACTGTTTCCTCGGTTGGGGGAGGGCTGGTGTTGGTCTGCCTGTTGGGCCTGAGGAGCAAAGCACCAGGAGCCTCCTTGCTTGGTCTTCAAGGCATAAAGCCACATTCGCTGCTAACCCTGTGGGGTGCTGTGAGGCCGCGCTGAGGGGGTGGGCAGTTGGATTTGATGAATGGCTAGGTTTCAGCTGGGGAAGCTGGAAGCCATCTTGGTGCTGAGCCCTGCCCTCGAACACACTTGTGGCTCCTGGATCTCCTGCTTCCCTGTGTGCACCTGTGTTCTTCACTGGGTGTGCACGTCCTCCAGCTGTTCTGCAGACACGACAGAGTCAGGTCCCGGAGTGTGATGGCACAAGCGGACTTAGAGAACACTAAGCAGTACGACGCGAGAGGCACCCGTCAGGCCGTCCCCCTCCGTCCTCAGGGCATCCAGCTGTCCTCAGAACTGACCTCCCAGATGCTGCTCTGTGCTGAGAACTCGGCTGGGCCAGCTGTGGGGCCTGAGCAGAACTCCCAGCCGCCCTCGATGTTGCAGTCCCTTAAGGAAGTAGAGCCCAGGGGAGAAACCGCTAAGGACTGTCACACTCCCCAGAACTTCCAGCCCAGGAAGAAGCCAGCTCTTCCCTTTGGGGAGAAGAGCCCCAGCCGCTCAAATAAAGGACAGGGTGGACCTGTCGCTCTGGTTCATCAGTCATCACCCCAGTCACCCCTGGGTGCGTTTTCTCACAAGTCTCGCTGGCTTCCTTCTCCTCTAAAAGTTGTGGGCTTAACAACAGATAGAGATGCAGTGGCAACTCCAAACTTCTCAATTCCTGGTCAGAACACAGGGCGGCACAAATCCCCATTGTCTATTGCTCTTTTATCAGACGATTTGTGAAATCAGAGCACGTGAAATAATAGGTCTGGGAGCCTCCATGATTGGGTACAAGGCGCAAGAGTACAGAAATTCTTTACACCAAATTTACTCTGTACATAGAAGAGGGTCTGTACGTACATTAAAAAACAGACACGTAGGCCTAGGTATTTAGTTCTTTTCATAGTAAATTAATAGTGGCTGTAGACTATACTTGCAGCAATTTTCACGTTTTTCTAATTCAGAAAGGTTTTCTTACATTAGGGGGAAAATAATTTATTTTAATATATAAAATCACTTTCCTAAAAAAAAAAAAATTGGAGGGCACATACATTTTTATCAAAGAAAAATAAACAGGTGAATGTGGGGCAGCGATTCTTGTCCAGCACAGTCTACCTCAGCGTTGTCAGGATGAGGTTCAAGAATGGACATTCTCGAGGCTACAGATTTCTGCCAGGATCCAGTCTGAATCAGGGAAAATCTGTATCGGCTGATTCCGAATGCCAGGGACCAGTCAGAAATTTGAGGGAGGGGTTTGGGATAAAGTGTGGCCTTTTGTGAGCACAGATCCTTTTTCCTAACAGGTAATCATCTTCTCTGATTTTAATTTTCCTTTTTTTCTTTTTAATCTCCATTGACACCATGCTTCCCAAACAGGAACCAAATGTGAGGCCATAGTTACGTATCTGATGTGCGGGGTGCCCAGACCTGAGCTGCCCACCTGCGGAGGGAGCTGTTGCCTGTCTTCCCCAGGGCAGAGCAGGCCTTGTGCCGAGCTGGCATCCCCTTGGAGTGAGCGCCAACGTGCTCCCTGACTTATCCTTTCTGGCTGAGATGCTACTTGAGGGTGGACCCAGTCACACTCATGGGCACCTCACATGCAAACACGCAGTGACTGCCTCCCAGGAGGTATTTGAGGAATCTCAACCCCAAACCCACCAGCATACGGAACACATTTTAGCAACAAAACCTTGCGTCCCCTGATGTAGTTTGATTTCAAACTGATGCTGTTTGGCCTTGTGGGGCTTTGAGAACCCGTGTGGATGTCTGGACGGGGCCTGTCGGGCTCCTGTCATATTCACCAAGCCTTGCTGCCCTGGCCGTGCCTCTAGGCACCGCCCCTGCGGATTCACTGTCCGCTTGCCCTGGAGGCAGGCAGAGTGCTGGGCAGCCCTTGCCAATGGGGTTTGACAGGCTATTTAGCTGTCTCTGCCGCTGCAGTGTGAGCAGCTGTGGAGTCACAAACCTCCTTTCGAAATAAGGTTGACTCTGACAACAGAACTCTGATCCTAGAAGTCATGGTGTCTGGGGGTTGTAGCGACGGCTTACAAAGCAGCAACGCCAGCTTGGGTTGACACTTTTGGTTTGTTTTTAAAGATGTCTCCTTATTATGAAAACTTTTCAGTCACGTGGTGAAATCCACATCGTTTCTTTTGGAAAGAGAACACATTACTCTCTCCCTGGACGGGTGACGCCCAGCACGTCGGGGAGCTGTCCTGGGTGCTCTCCGTTCTTTCAAGCCGGGAGGAAGGGAGCAAGGCTGCTGTTCCCTTGGAGAGACGGTGCGCTGCTGAGAGAAAATTCGGGAACTGACGCACGGGTCTGGGCATGCCACCGAGGACCACGCAGACGGCTGCCAGCACGGATGGAGCTGTCGCGTCTCCCACAGGAGGGGACAGGCTGCCGGGAGATGTGCCTGCTCGGCGGGAGGGTGTTTGCGTGCAGCCGCGTAACGTTGGCCAGTGGCTTGGCCCCTGCCAGCCGTCGGGGTAAGTGGCTGTGCTGTCGTCTCAGCGACAATCATTTTGCTTTGGTGGACAGTTTGGTGTTAAAACCTTTTGGATGCTTTTCTGGCGAGTCCTTGACACCTCAGGCGATTCAGAAATGATGGTTTTGTCGGAGGTGGGGGACGAGGAAAGACTGGTTGTATATAAAGGGTGCATGTAGAATGGTGTCCTTTGAGAAAACCTTCCAGAATGTTTTTCAGAATTCTCATTTGCGCTGGAGGTGAGGTTGGAAATGGAAAGAAGATCGGCATGTGTTCGTCTCAAACACATAAAAAAAGTTGCAGGGGCTGCAACTGAAGGCGAATGTTTCCTCACGGTCACCCCACAAAGGGAAACAATGACGGTTCTCTGTCACCTGATTCCAGAGAAGGTCCAGAACCAGCCTCCAGCCAGACTTTCATTTGGGCATGCGCCCTGGAAGTCCCTGTTAAAAACAGATCATGAACCTGAGGCTCTTCGTTCCATTTGAGAAGGAAGGAGTAGCCCCCGAGATGAGTGTGTGACAAATGGCTTTCGGTTTCCCACTTCATGTGTCTGGGAGGTTGGCCTCAGCCGCGTGTCAGCAGGAGACACCTCCATCCACCCTCAGCCTCACAGGATCAAATGTGCCTCGGCTTACGTGGAAAAAAACTTGGAAACACAAAACACACCAAATAGCTCAATTATCATTATTTTCAATGTTTTTCTATAAGAGCCAAGTAATGCCATGTATAGAATATGCCTTTGGGGGGTGGGGGTATTGAAATCGCTCTGCATGTAAGACATGGGGTAATTACCTGTTTATATGAAAATTCTGAATAAATTATCTGAGAATAGTCTTGTTTTCGTGTGGTGTCCAAGCAAGGACCTATGAGCTGTGTGGTGTGACTATGGGGTGGGCTGTGTTGAGGGAAGTCCGGGAAGTTGTGGGACAAAGCCCTAGGGTCTTCAAAGCAGTGAAGCAGGAGGTTAAGTATGGTCACCAGCAGGCCTGGTGATGCACGGGTACCTGCCTGCACAGCTGAGTTGGTGGCTTAAATCATGAACTGTTCCCACACCAGTTGGTATATAACTGCTCCACAAGGACCCTGGACCTGCCATGATCCCAGCACTAGGATTCATTCCAAGAATACCAGGGGGCCTCTGGGATCTTGCTCCATTTCAACAGGCTAGAGACTTACATGTTAAATATTTTCAGTGTCATTCTGGGAACATGCCCTGTCCCCAGGGTGGTGGCCAGTGTGGCACTGCAGATTCAACACCCTTTCTTGAGCTGAATAAAGAGTGCTGTGGGCAAGGAGACAGACTCCCTGCCTTCACCAGCCTGTGTGACTTTGAACAAGTTACATTATTTCTCGTGTTAGTTGTTGCCGTGTAACAAACAGTCCCGGAACTTAGTGGCTTAAACACCACATTTATTTTTTAGTTCTGTATGCTAGTTAGGCAGCCCTCAGCACAGTTTCACTGCTATGTCTGAAGCCTCTCCTGGGGCAGGTGGGAGGGCTCATCTTCCAGGAAGCTAGCTGGGGCTTGTTCATACGGCGGGGGTTGCAATGTATCCCTGGATGAGAGAGCAAGCCCCAAATATGCAAGCACTTTCCAAAGTTTTGCTTGTGTAGTGTTTGCTACTGTCCCATTGCCAAAGGATTGAGTCAACATGGAGTGAGAATAGGGAGGGGCCATAGGAAGGTTGGATACAGGAAGGTGTGAACCAACTGGGAGTGACTGCAACAGTCACCTTTTTCCATCTAGGATTGAAGATGGTAGACCCTGCTTCACATGACAATCGTGAAGTTCAATTGAGGGAAGGCTTATTCTTCATGCTCTTCCCAGGACATCCTTCCCACATCCCAAAACCTCTCTAAGTTCCTGTTCTCTAAGAAATTGATGCCACTGCTAATTGGAAGTGTCGGTAGCCTCAACTCTGCCTCCCCGGGTGGGTGAAATTCAATAGCAGTGTCTTGGAAAATGAAAATGTTTTTCTCCCCAGGAAGGAGTCTCAAGGGATTCTTTTTTTTTTATAATTAAATCTTTATTGTTCAGATTATTACATTTGTTCCTCTTTTTTTCCCCCCATAACTCCCCTCCTTCCAGTTCCCACCCCACCTTCCGCCCTCACTTCCCACCCACTGTCCTCATCCATAGGTGCACGATTTTTGTCCAGACTCTTCCCGCATCTCCCACACCCCTTTCCCCCCAAGAATAG